ACTCCAACACTTAAAAGCTACTCCTCCCAGTGACTGTGGTTGAAAATCTTCAAGTACTTCATTGATTCCTTTCTTTCTCTTCCTAACTACACCCAAACCATTGCCACCCCTGTTGATTTCACTTCCCCTGAATTTCCCTTGCTCCTTCGGGCACTGCCTAAGTTCAGGCCCTTTGATCTGTGGTTTTAACCACTGCTGTAGCTTTCTGGTTATCTTCCTTGTCCCCAGCCACTTTCTACATTGTAGCAGAGTTCACCTTTGTGAAATAAACCTGGTGAGTTCGTGCCCTGTCTAAAAGCCTTTAGTAGCCCCTTTAGCTAAAAGGAAAACCTTAATCTAGAGGATCTATCACAGTCTGCCCCAACCTACAAATTTCAGCAACTTCATCTTCTTCCATCACTGTCATACCCCAGGGTTTCTGCAAAACAGCCACTGTGGTCCGGTCTGATGCCCCGGCCAGATTCATCTACTCACCATTTCTTAAGTTCTGTGTCTTGGCACATGCTATCAAATGCCCAACCATTTCACTATGTCTGGAATATTCTTTCCCAGATTCTCCGCATTAAGAACAACCACTTATCCTTGGAGTCTTCTATAAAATTTAAATCATATATGAGATACCCCTCCATACCCCTCATTGCTGTTTTCAAACCATTGTCCCTTCCCCCTCTGTCTTCCCTAGACATTCTCGGGATTGAATCTCTTATAATTAAATCATACTGGGGGCACCTGGGTGGCTCAGTCGGTTAAGTGTCCGACTTCGGCTCAGGCCATGATCTCACGGTTTGTGAGTTCGAGCCCCATGTCGCACTCTGTGCTGACAGCTAGGAGCCTGGGGCCTGCTTCGGATTCTGTGTCTCCTCCTCTCTCTGCCCCATCGCTGCTTACGCTCTGTCTCTCTCTGTCTCTCAATAATAAATAAACTTAAAAAAAAAATCATACTGCCCACTATCCCTCATTGTGATGTCACCAACCAACCCCCCAGTTATGCCCCTTTACTTCCCACTGGTTTTACTTCCTGGTTCACTTTTACTATCTCCAGTCCTGCTAACGTCTCCATTCCTGGATGATCACCATGTACACGGTAGATGATTCAGTAGCCTCTCCATTTCTAGAACTCCTCTCTTCCAGTGATCTGACCCTCCATACTACCTCAGCCATTTATCTGTGTGTTCAGAGCCCTAGACCTTCTCTTTACCAATAATCCTTCCATAACACCAATTTAATTCATTCCATTCTCTGACCATAACATCCATCTATCCCTCCATTTCCTCTAGTGACCCAGTTCCAACTTCACCAGGATCTCCAACCCATTGATCTATCTTTTCATTATCTCTAACCTTCATGAAATTCTCTCTCACCACCTTACTCATCTTAAAGTCCGTGACTAATCAATAGACTCAACCTCTTTGTATATACCCTTAATTCCTTGGTGTACTCGCTTGGCAAAACTACAACCCTGGCTAATTTTACCTAATTTGTGCCTTCGTTCCCGCCAAAGAATGAGCCGAAGGCCAACGCTCTTGATCATGAACCTCCAGTGGACCTAAATGTTGCTTGATGATCATATTCTACTTTTCTGGCCTATTCACTCTACCGCATATGCGATGGCTACCTTGTTCATTCTTATCTCTCCTCAGACCCACAGCACACCGCCTCAGTCTTCATTCTTGGTGATGATCATCTTTCCCACTTCACTGACAAAGTTAACGCCAACAAAAAGGGACTTCTATAAATTTCCATAACCATTACCACCTTTCCACCAGAATCTATACACATAAGCCCTTACCTCCACCTGCAGCTGAAGAGGACTTAACCATGCACCTATCAAAAGTCAATCTCCCCACTTGCAAATGAGATCCCATCTTTACTCAGTGACAATGCTCTAGAAATCCTCCCATTTCTTTTCCTGAATCACAAATGTCTCCTTCTCTCTACCAAATCCTTCCCATCAATGTACAAACACATAATTTATTTCTCCCATCTTAAAAACAAAAACAAAACCCTTCACTTACCCTTACTTCCCTTGCCTGATACTGCCTTGTTTGCAAATTTGTATTCCTTCCTGGCAAAACTCTTTGGACAAGTTGTCTATATCCATTCTCTATAATTCCTTTCCTCCCATAGTCACTTATAATCACTGCAAGCCAGTTTTTTTTTTCCTACCCACTCTACCAAAGCTGTTTGTTCACAGTTTTCCTCTTACTTGACTTATTACAAAGGTTTGATGTAGTCAGTCTCTCTGTCCTTGATATTTTCTTCACGCGGCTTCCAGAACACTCAACCCTTGGTTTACTTTATTGGTCACTCCTTAGTCTCTTTTGCTGCCTTTTCCCTCTTCTTCCTAAGCTCTTAATGATTACACACTTTAGGGCTCACTCTTTGTTCTCTTCGCTGTTTTCACTCATTCTTTCAGTAAACTCATCCAGAATCACAACGCTTAATACCACCTCCACGCTAATTTTCCGCCTCCAGCCCAGAGTTCTCTCCTGAACTTCAGACTTGCACATTCACTCCACTTCTCAACGTCTTCTCTTGGTGTCATCTAAAAACTCAGAAATGTTGGGGCGCCTGGGTGGCGCAGTCGGTTGAGCGTCCGGCTTCAGCCAGGTCACGATCTCGCGGTCCGTGAGTTCGAGCCCCGCGTCGGGCTCTGGGCTGATGGCTCAGAGCCTGGAGCCTGTTTCCAATTCTGTGTCTCCCTCTCTCTGCCCCTCCCCTGTTCATGCTCTGTCTCTCTCTGTCCCAAAAATAAATAAACGTTGAAAACAAAAATTAAAAAAAAATAAATAAGTAAAAACTCAGAAATGTTGAGTTTAAGCTCTTCTGATTCCTGATCTCTCACCATGAAAACTGCATTGTCACCCGCTTTCCGTACCTCAAATGATAGCAACTATGTTCTTCCGGTGGTTCAGATCAAAACTTTTAGACTCATCTTTGACTTCTGTCTTTATTACACTCCCACACATACCATTCAGCAAATCCAGTTGGCCTTCATTTCAAACATATCCAGAATCCAAACACTTCTCACTACCTCCAGCGCGATCCCCCTGGCCTGAGCCACCGTTACTTTTCTCCCGAGTTACTGCAATGTTCTCATTTAGGAATCGGCAAAGTGGTTTTGTAAAGGGCCATGTAGCAAATATTTTCTGCTTTGGAGGCCATACTAGTCATTGGGGCACCCAGTCATCTCTGCTGTTATAACGCAAATGGGCATGGCTGTGTTCCAACGTTAAGTTTGTTTCCAAAAAAGCAATGAGCTGAATTTGGACCCCAAGCCATAGTTTACCAACTCCTGATCTATCGGGCCTCTTTGTTTCCATCCACTATGATCTCTTCTCAAGTCAGATCATGTCACTTCTCTGCTCAAAACTCTACAATGGTTCTCCTTCTGGATCAGAGTAAAAACCATAATCTTCAATAATCTTCAAGCCCCTACGTGATCCTGCCACAGTCGTATCCCTAAATCTCATACCCATTGCACTCTCTCCTTAATCCACCCTGCTGCAGCTGCACCCATCCCCTCGCCGTTCCTCAAACAGGCCAGGCACACTCAAGACTTGGGCGTCAGCACTGGTTGTCCCCTCCTCCCCCAGATATCCACACGGCCCCTGTCCTCACCCTCCTCACTTCTCTGCTCAAATGTCACCCTCATCAAGGAGGCCAATGCTCCCTTGATATTTGAAATTACAGCCTTCCTCCATGACTCTCATGCCCCCTTACTCTTCTCTATTTTTCCCTTCTCCCCCCCAAACTTACCACTTTCTAACAGCAATAATAATTTACTAATTTATATTTACTGCATCCCTAACCTTCCTGGAATACAAGCTCCACGAGGCCAGGGAACTTTGGATTTTATTCCCTGGTGTATCCTGAGACCCTAGAGCCATGGATGACACATAGGAGGCATTCCCAAAAGGTGGGATGAATGGAGTCCGTGTGGCATCCCTCAAATTCCAGAGATGTAGTGGGTCACTCAAGTCTCTATATTACTTCAATTCTTTTTCCGTGTTATTCTTATAGTCCTTTTTGTCCTGACTCATTTCTATGTAGGTAACTGCCTTTCCTATCACAACACCATGATCTCCTTGGACATTTGCTATATGTTTGTTTGCCTGTCACGTAGCAAAAGGTGAGTCATGCCAACGTAATGAACCTACAAAGGTGCCACATATGCGTGGTTCTCTGTTGCCAAATCACTCACTCCACGAGCCAGTATTTGAAAGGTCTCTCCCCATACCCCACTCTCGATACATCTATACACACACACCGCTAATTGAGATCCTTTAAAACTCTTTTTCACATATTTGCTTAATTAGCTTGCACTGACCTCTGCAAAAACACTGGCCTCTGACGATCCTAAGAGGTAGTTTCCTGGCATGGACACCAGAGCATCAAAGAGTCAGCTGGAACGAAGGAAAGCATAACACAGCTGGATTTAATTATTCATGACAGGCAGCCGAATATATCTGACACAGGTCTTCTCCCTAACACATCACTCAAAACAGGCCGGTTTCAGGAAACGGTAGAGAGAGAGAGAGGGAAAAAAAAAAACCAGGATCAGGCCAAAATGTGTCCATAATACAAAGCAGATCATCTTTCACACGGATGACCTTATGCATTTTGCTTTATATTTTTATGATGGGCCCACATCTATAAGACTGCTGACCCTTTAAGACTCGGCGTGCTCCTATGCTGGGGCTTAGCAGTGGTGGCTCAGGTTCTGGGAAGAGGAGGTGGGTGAAGATCGCACCCATTCGTGAATCATCGTACGAGCCAAGGGTCCTCCATGGTTCACGTAGAAGTGCAGGCATGTTTGCAATTAATTCATCTGGGAAGCACAGGTGAGCACTTTCTACTTGCCTTCGACGTTCACAGAAGGATTAACTGTATCTACGATCCAGTTTGTTTCTTTGGGCTTTTGCTTAGCAGGAAACGGGTGAGGATTTTAGGCGTTGCTTTGTTACGACCTACCCATAATTTTAATATTTCTCTCAGGTTTATCATTTCCCTTCTCTTCCCAACGTACATTCACATCAATGAAAGCAACGGGGCCAGACGCAATGAGGCGAGCGGGGTCGGAGGCCAGTGGCTAAAATTAGATTATCAATGACATTTACTTATCTGTTCACAGCTGAAATTTTAACGGTACAATGTTTTCTCCTGAAACGAGACGCTTCCTCATCACTGAAACGCAGGCTTCTGTTATCAAATTGCACCCATATTCCATCACTGGGTGGTGAAACTGACCCCAAATGGAAAGCGAAACCATATATACTTTTTCTGTGAAGAGAAAAGCTAAAGACAAGATTAAGCAATGGGTTTGTTTTCATAAGATTATTTTGACCCGTGCCTTTCGTAATTAGGGTGAGCTTTTACTTCTAAGAGAAACAGTCGTCCCGGAGAGGAAGGGAATAGAATGCATCTAACATGAGGGCAGAGCAAGGCGGGCCTAGACTTTACCCCATCCATCCCGGAATACTCCATAATGCAAATCTTCAGGGACCAGGGCAGTTTAGAATTTGTGAACACTGCTCCCTTTTCTGGTTTTGTGTACAATGTACATTTTGGGTGTACACGGCAGTCTCTTAAAACAGTTTTCCTGATGTTTCACTCCATTTATCTGCCGGGAAATCCACCGAGTGTGTGCGCGTACTTATAAAATTAGTGGAAACTTGTACATACTACATTGAGCATTTCCAGACATGCATCGGATCCCTTCTCTCCATCCCCCCCCCCCCCCCCCCCCCCCGCCGCCGTGAATTATGAGGAGCATACTTCTGTCCCAAAGCGCCCCTGTGCAGTCCAGCCCCATTCCCACCTGCTGGTCAGGACTGTCCATCACTGTGCAGTGCGAACATCCACACCGGGATGCACTGTTCTGGAAAGCCATCCTGTTTCTTCTGGCCCAGCACCACCAGCCCGCTCTTCCTAATGAGGCTCCGGAGGATGTCCATGTCCCGAGTCACACTGCTGTCCGAGAGATCGAAGATACAGCCCTCCCGAGCCACGTTGTCCTTCAGTATGATGACACCGTTTTCCTTCAGGCCAGCTCGGCACCGGGAAAGAAATACAAGAAGGTCTTTGTCGGTCAGGTACCCTACAGGTGAGGCCAAGTAGATGGGGAAACAGGATGGAATGGTGGGGGGGGTGGGGAGGGAGGGGAGTAGGAAGGTAGGAAAGATCACAAGGCTAAGAATCAGGAGACCATTGGTTCACTCATTCATGAATTATGTAATAGCCTGAATTGTTCTGGTTGTGGGAGGCTTCGATAGGAGGATAGGTATCGTCTCTGAGGAGGCTCAGTGTCCCATCTATAAACTACATATTATGCCACCTGTTCTATCTACCTCATAGGCACGAAATAAACTATTGCCTTTCCCATGAATCCCCGCCACCGTCCCCAGACAACCCAACTTTGTCATTACTGCTCTGTGTCCCCTAGACACACACACTGAGACCAATATCTAACTCACTGCTGTCTCACTTCCTGGGAATTTAAATCTAAGGAAGTCCGGTTTTGCCCCTACATGGGGATAAACTCTTTTTGACCCCACTTTTTCAAGTTTTTCAAGTATTTGGTTTTCTTTGCAGGGTTAGGTTGGTCCAAAGGCACTCCATCTCCAAGGACGGGAATTTTCAGGCTCGTGACAGAGGATGTCAGGGGAGACGGTGGGAGGACCAGAGCTTCGGGGGGAGTTTCCATGATGCCTAAGGCTGCCTAACTACCCTTAGCACAACTACGACTACATCTCCCCGAACGTCCTTGCTCCCTCTCCGCAAATCCTCAAATTAGCCCCAAGTATTGTCTTCTCGCTCTCTCTCGGAAGGGGACAAAGGCAGATGCCATGCCATGCAGGACTGACCAGAGACCCACTGAATCCAGATGACATCATATCTCCCCAGTGGGGGTGTAAATTCCTGCAGGTTGTAGCAGTGGTAGCTTTCTACCTTGTCCCCGTTGACCTGCAGGTAGTTCTGGGCTTCGACGAGGAACGATTCCATCATGTCCACCAGTTCCACGCTTTTGAAAACCGGCAACAAGACATGCTTGCTGACCCTTCCTATTCCAGAGCCACAATCCAAGGCACAGTCTGTCCCAGCTCTCCCGGGGCCCTGCAGAAAGGTACCTTGTGGGATGCTTCAAGTACAGACACGTACCCTGAGTCTAGGATACTCCGGTTACCTCTTTGAACCAACTTTATTTAGGTCAATTTTCATATAATAAAATGTACTATATTAAGTGTACCATTCAATGCATCCAGGCACGTACCGACTACCACAAATAAGTTCTAGAACATCCAATTGCCTCTTTCAAGAAATAGCCAACACTGCTAGTGTTTACTTTCTTTGTTTTATCCAAATAGAGGTCTTGAAAAGAATGACAAAGTAAGATTTTAGAAAATAATGTTTTAGGTCTAAAAACTCAGTAATTTCCTCTAAGAAATGGGTCACAGAAAGCCCTATAAAGTAGAATGTTATTAACTGTAAATTTGGGTCAAGCCCACAGCTAAATGGACCTGCATGGTAGCTTATTGCTTTGTGAAAGAGAGAAAGAAAGAAAGAGGAAAGAAAGAAAAGGGGAAAGGACAGGGAGGAGAGGGGAGAGAGGAAGGGAGGGGAGGAAAGGGGAGGGCAGGGAAGGGAAGGGGAGGGGAGGGGAGGGGAGGGAAGGGAAGGGAAGGGAAGGGAAGGGAGAGAGGAGACGCGAGGTGAAACGAAGCGAAGCCGGAAAACCTTACAGACAGAATTTTACTTCAAATCCACCCCGGTGGCACACAGCACATTCACATGGATAGAAGGTGTTTGTGGCAAAGTCTCCTTATCTCTTTTAATGCTAGAAATTGTTTCCTGTCTTTGTAAGAGAAACTGTATGATGTACTGTGCACAAAACCCCCTAAAATTGTTTTTATAAAGTAGGTCTCGGGGACCCTGGGTGGCTCAGTCAGTTGAGCGTCCAACTTTTTATCTTGGCTCAGGTCATGATCTCATGGTTCATGGGATCGAGCCCCACGTGGGGTTCTGTGCTGATGGTGCAGAGCCTGCTTGGGATTCTCTCTCTCCCTTTCTCTCTAACCACCCCCCTCTTTCTCAAGATATAAAAATAAAAAATCAACTTTAAAAAGTAATAAAAATAAAGTAGGTCTGTACACTAAATTAACCGGAGGTGAAGGATGGATAGATGGTGGAGGAGGAAATCAGCCAATGAAAACTTTCTCAAACTTGCTTCTGTAAAGTAGTATATTCATATGCACATATGCATATATATATATATATATATATATATATATGGCCAGCTGCACATATGCATATATACATATATATATATGGCCAGCTGAAACTCTGAGATATATATTATTCGGTCTGTCTATATTATCTGGTCTAAATTATTTGTCCATAATTGGGATGACTGCTAAATAGATTTTATGCTAGAAATTATAATAATAAGATCTTGCCAATCAAGATCTTAAGGAGAAAGCCTACTCTTGTTTTCTCAGGAACTAAGGATTTAAGAAAAGATTTGAGCAGAAGGAAACATCAGAAATGCCGCTTTCTAGTCCACTCAAAGGGCCTTCTGTACAGCAATAAAGGCACAGTGAAGAACAAAAAGTGAAGACATTTTGGCTTCTTTTCAAATGGAATCATAATAAGCATGATTTATCATGTGCTTATATATAGAAGCTCTTTGCATCTGTAATAACTAACATCAAAACAACTCCACAAGATAATGATTACCCCCCAGTTTGAAGCTGAGGAATCTTGGGTTTCCACAGCTAATGGCAGACCTAGAACTTGAACAGGGAACTGTGTGAATCCAAAGGCAGTTCTACCTTAGAGCAGTCCCCTCAGGCGCCAACTCCGATTCCCTTGATAGTATCTGTCCGATGCTACGTTGAAAAAAATTCTAAGGCTTCCCTGAGACGGAGCAGGAAAGAGCTCTGTGATTGACTAGTGATGTCTCCCTTGAGTATGGGAAGGGGGACGTGGTGGTACCCATACCATGTATTTGCCATTTCCACTTACACGATGCCACCTCCCTCATTCAGATATTATAACGTAAACTAAACTCATTCAGAGAAAAAGAAGACCTAGGCTAAAGGCTTATGCTGTGAGCGCCATAAAGAAAACATCCCTTAAGTAAATCCACAACATAAACACGATGGGTAGGATAAGTATAGGAACGTTATCGTAAGCTGTCGAAATGATCTTAGTAGAAATGTGTATACTCAGAGATTACTACAAATTTTTCTTACCATTACTTGGCCTTAAAGTCTCCACAGATCATGTTGCTCACATTATTGTAGCAAGTGGCCTTAGAATTAGAACCATAGAAGGATAAAGCAAAGAGGGCTCGGAGACCTATGCCAGAGACGTCAGATTACAATAGCTGACCTCCTTTTTCTCATTGAACAAATAAACCTGAAGCTGCTCTTGTTAAAGTGAGGCAGAGCCTCACCCGCTCACCCTTCCTGTCATTCTCCCAGTAGGACCTTGAAGGATCTCAGCAAAACCCTAGAGTGCTTAAAGCACTCATGTCTAATTTCCCTACTTTTTTATACCAAGAAACTGAGGCTCAGAGAGGTGAAATGTTTGAAATAGAATTCCCTTGAAAATTCTCACTCTCTGATTTATATTTTTCACCAACGGAGACGTGCGATATTTGACTATAATTACTTTCGAAACAATGGTCATTTACAAATACAGAAAGGTACCTTTCACCCAAATTGTGTGTACTGCTCGCCTCTCACCACTGTGGCTTAGTTGTGTTTATTATATTTCACTGCATACGGCTGCCACTGCCTCCCATATTCTTTCTCTCTCTCATTCACATGCAGCTCGTATGGGAAGGGGTATTTAAAGCCCATTCTCGGGGCGCCTGGGTGGCTCAGTCGGTTAAGCGTCCGACTTTGGCTCAGGTCATGATCTCGCGGTCCGTGAGTTCGAGCCCTGCGTCGGGCTCTGTGCTGACAGCTCAGAGCCTGGAACCTGCTTCGGATTCTGTGTCTCTCTCTCTCTCTCTGCCCCTAACCCACTCGCATTCTGTCTCTGTCTCAGAAATAAACAGACATTAAAAAAGAAAATTTAAAGACCATTCTCAGGCACATCTCCTGCCTCCTGGACACCAAGGCTGCCTGTATTGAAATCTGATGTCCTTCCATGAATGTGACTGGACCTATATACAAGGTGTGATTTCAAAACAAGATGTTTTGTTAATTCCATTCTCATTTATGGTATTGTCTTCATACTTATGGATTCATATAAAATAGTAAAATACTCTTGGGAATTTGGTTTTTAGTTTTGATTCTGCCTATATGTTTTGTTTTCAAAGACATCATTGTAAGTTCATTCCTGTGGGATTTAAAACTCAAAAGGAAGTGCTGAATGCCACTGTATAGAAACCGTGAAATATAACAAGTGAGACCCAGAGTTTTTAATCATCCAATCTCTGAGAAATGTCAATAGATAAATACTGTCAAATACTGATTACTTTTTACAAATTGCCACTTTCCCCCACTAGAAAGCTAAAATTGAGGACCGTTATCAGCTGTGCCATTGACATCACCTTGGCATCATTTGTTTATTTGCTAAAGTAAACATAAACGCAGCAAGTTTAAACCACTTTTCTCGCTGTCCTGTGTCCCTAAGTGTTGAAAGGAAAGCAAAACTTTAAATTAAACAATCTGCCTTTTCCCAGTTGACATAAGGATAAATCATGTCAGATACTCATATTCCATAACTCCTTGTATCTTGACCTGGATACTAATTTAGCAGATTATTGAGGTCAAAGTACAAAAATATCATTTCTTTAAAAAGACTGTTTATACTCAGTTAGAGGTCACGGTTTCACAATGAGCCTTGTCTCCTAAGAAGGACTCCTTATATTTGTTTGAAAAGAGCAGGCTCCTCTTTTCCAACACAAATATGCAAGCACAAGGCTGTTTCCTTTCCCAGGTCCATGGGCGTTGTATGGGCTCTGTCTGACCAGCATCCCTGTGGTCAGCTTGGCACTCCACATGGAGTGACAAGACAGCTGGATTACTAACTAAGCTTCTGAAATGCACTGGGATCAAAGTCAGCTTCACCACGAGGCAGGCAGAAGGGAGAGCTTTCGGCCAGGCCGGAGGAGAATTGAGGTCTGTGGTACACACACACACACACACACACACACACACACCAAGGATTTTTCTGCTTCATGAGACAAATGGAAAAAATATGTCACGGTTAAGAGTAGAGAGTCTGGTGTCAGACAGGCCTGGCTGGACTTCAGTCCCTGCTCTGTCTCTTACCGGCTGCATAACCTTGACGACTCAGTTAACGTCTCCAAACCTCGGTTTCTACCAATGTAAAAAATACGGATGATAATAGTACTTACCTTCTAGAATTCTTTTGAAAAGTAATCAAGACGATACTTCTAAAGTGCTTAGCAGAGGGACTATTGCAGGAAAAGCACTCCGTGAAATCAGTCAGTGATACTGATTTAGAAATACTCCGGGTTATCCTGACCTACAAACATTTATGGACGTCATCTCCAGCTTCATGGTCCTTCGTGGCCACAGCTGATGTTCAGACACGTCGGCCCCGATGGATGCTCCATCCTGATTTAACTTCTCTGCTCAGACACTTGGTGCTCCATGGAGGTTGGATGTGAAGTGAACTTCACCTTAACACTCGGGATATTCTTTTTTTTTTTTTTAATTTTTTTTTTCAACGTTTATTTATTTTTGGGACAGAGAGAGACAGAGCATGAACGGGGGAGGGGCAGAGAGAGAGGGAGACACAGAATCGGAAACAGGCTCCAGGCTCTGAGCCATCAGCCCAGAGCCCGACGCGGGGCTCGAACTCACGGACCGCGAGATCGTGACCTGGCTGAAGTCGGACGCTTAACCGACTGCGCCACCCAGGCGCCCCAACACTCGGGATATTCTTGATAGTGCACTTGAAAACCTAACTCAGATATTTATAATATTGATAATGCTTCCCTTATCAGGATACAATGGGCTCCAAATTTCAAACAGATGACTTCCAAATGAATTGGAACGAAACCTGGTTGCCAGTTAGGACTTTGTCTTCAGTAGGACCAACAACAGCTTTGTGGTATTGGCAGCTTTATTAAATCTATTCTAGCAACTAAATGAAGTTCCTGAAACTCTAATGAATGCATTTTATGAAAGCCTGTTATTACTTTTTTTAATTTTTTAATGTTTATTTTTCTTTGAGAGAGACACAGAGACAGAGACAGAGCATGAGCAGGGGAGAGGCAGAGAGAGAGGGAGACACAGAATGGGAAACGGTCTCCAGGCTCCGAGCCATCAGCACAGAGCCCCATGCGGGGCTTGAACTCACGGACCGTGAGATCATGACCTGAGCCGAAGTCAGACGCTTAACTGACTGAGCCACCCAGGCACCCCAAAGCCTGTTATTATTAGTAGTAGCAATAAATTAGATTTATTGGGTAATAATTATGCACAACAAAGCAAGCACATTTCTTTGCACATTGGCTCATTGGATCTTCGTATTATCCTCTGAGGTAGGTTCGATGGTTAATGCCCTAGTCACAGGTGAGAAAACTGAAGCTTACAGCATTTAAGGAACCATTCCAAGGTTGCTTGTACATTAAATAGAAGAACCTAATGACTATAGAGCTGAAGATTATTGTCCCTACCCTCTACTGTCTTGTCTCCATCTGACAGGGAAGTGAGGAAGCAGTTTCACCCAACCCCGGGGCTACAAAGAGATCACATTCTTTCAAGGCGAAGTCTGAACTACGTATTAAATAATATAAAGAGATTCCACTGTACTTCTCGTTTTCAAGCCAAACATAGGCATGCACTTCCTTACTATATTACATTTGTATTGCAGGAAATCAGTAAATCGCCCCAAGATCCCAAATGGCATGATCTCTCATCAGTCATCTGGGTGTGAACAGTTTCATCTGGAAGACTATAAAAGAGATGTCTTCTTAATCCCCCAATCGTAGTATTAGCACTGCTAGTTCCCTTTCCCCTGAAGCATGAGAGATTAGCTGAGGCTATAGGATGGTGAAAGGCCAAGGGGGATAAGCCAGTGGTTTGATGCGACCCATCCCTTCTGAACATTTTAAAAGAGGCTTTCGGGCTCAACTCTTGGCTGAGCCATATGGCTTTAATACGACTTAAATGACCACACAGAAGCATGTGAGCTCAATGTTTGTGAGGACTTTGCTTCCTCATCAAGCTGCAGTTGCATAACTCACCCCAACAAACTTCCGAAGGAAGTCCCGAGAAGCCTGGATATCTGGGATGGACAGTTCAATGAAATTTCCCATCATACCCTCTTCTGTAGCTGGTACTTCTTGATAGAAAAGTTTAGCTCTGGCATAGAACTGCATCTCCCCATTGACGATTTGACTTGTTAAAGCATACAATTTCACTGCAAATGAAATATTAATATTTATCAATATGTATATGACAGAACAAGTTCAATCTTATCACACATGGAATTGCTTCTCAGAAGCCTGCCCATTTGTCATGTGGAGGAAAGGGCACAGTCAGAAGATCTGGGTCTGAGTTCTGGCTCAGTGACTTACTCAATATGTAGCCTTGAGAAAACTTCTTAACCCCTCTGATCTTTGGGTAGCTCATGCATAGTGGCATTTTCATGACTTAATGACCCTATAGTTTAATGAAACTGTAGCTTATTACTGTATATATTTTTTTAAGTTTGGCAGTATTTGTTATCATAGAATAAAGAATGTCACAAGGACGCCTGGGTGGCTCAGTGGGTTAAGCATCCAAGTCTTGATTTTTGGCTCAGGTCATGAGCTCAGGTCATGGTTCATGGGCTCAAGCCCCACTATGGGCTCCTTGCTGAGTGTGGAGACTGCTTGGGATTCTCACTCTCCCTCTCTCTCTGCTCCTCCTGTTCTCTCTCTCTCAAAATAAATTAACTTAAAAAAAAACACAGCATGTCACAAGTTTCACAGTGAGTTTTATCTTTGAGCTCCAAGTGTTTTATGAGGATTTAACTGTTAATCTTTACTTCTAATCACAAAGTACATTTGGGATAGCTATTTTTTCACCTCTTTTTAAGCAACTCACACTGAAATATCTCTTTGTACCAACATTACAGAAAATGTGCTTAAGCTCTATCTTCTGAAAATAAAATAATTAAAAAATGTTATATTTATTGAGCAACTCTTCCGTAGCAGGCAGTGTGCTAGGCACATTCTCATATACTACGTCACTTCATTATTTTAGACACCACATGAGGTATTATTTTAACACATTTATTTTTTGAAAAACATATGTTCCAACTTCTGAGAGGAAAATTTGCATGCATTTAAATGATCTTTGTAGATGAAAATACACCTCTTCAGGTATAAAATAGTATGCTATACCTCTTCAGGTATAAAATATAAAAGGGTTGCCATATTAGAGGACATTCAGGAGGAAATGGTAAAGAGTGAATGAAAGGAAGGAATTTCTCGTTCAAGAATGTAAACTGAATGCATTTGTCTTTCCTCCTTCCCCCTATTCCCCCCAAATTGTTTTAATAACCTCAACACATAACTGAAGAAAATGAGGCGGGGGGGTCGCCACCGATGAATTCATGACTTCAACAAATGTCTGGAAGACAAAAAAGCAGATGGAACAAAGCTAAAAAATTTGCAGCCTCAGATAGTTGCAAAAGGAAATAAGAGTTAATAAAAAACCAGTGAAAGGACAAATGTACCCTCCCAAAAGCAACTGATAGCACAACTGTAATCCTGGGCAGGGAAGTATCTTGTCTTAAAAAAAATTTTTTTTTTAATTAATCGCCTAAGGAGACCTAAACCAGTTAGTATAGGATCCTGGAATACCACTTATTTTGTCATAGAGAGGACTCTAAGCATCATATCTGCTCACACAGGTGAGACTTTAGTAAGATCTACTAAAGACATATATACCAGAAGAAACATTCTCCATTACCTAGAATCATTGACCCTGTTCTTTATTCCTAACTGTGGATGAACAATGATCTCTAAACACATGGGGGTAAAGTGGCAGTCTGAAAGAAAAAATAGAGATAAACAATCAGAAATGACCCCAAAGGAAATAGAACTAACTCAAGAAATGGATGAGAATTTGAACCAAAACTAAACAGAAAATTCACATATCCTTGGAGAGATATGAGAACTGGTGCATCCATAAATCAATGATAAGATGCCAAGAAAGCGATAATTCAACAAATAATAAAGACTTCTTAGAAATTAAAGTTTTGATTACCAAAAACTTTGGAATACAACTTTGAGTAAATTTGTCAGGACAGAAACAAAAAGACAGATGTAGAAAACAGAGGTAAAAAGATTAGAGCTATAAAGACTTAATTCAGGAGGCTCAAACATCAAACCAATTGGGATTTTTAAGAACAGAGAAACAGAAGGAAGAAAATTATCAAAGAAATAATAGAAGAAAATTTCCCAGAGCTAAAAGTGATTGTAGGATCGAACAAGTTCTGAGCAGCATGGATAGAAAAAAATAATGATGATGAAATAAATGCCACATTTACACAAATCTTTAGGAAATTTCAAAATGCGAAGAGTAAGAATTAGAAGATTCTAAAGTTATTTAGAGGGGAAAAGGTGGTTGACCCTCAAGGGTTGCCAGATTTAGCAAATAAAAATGAGGCACACAATTAGCTTTTAATTTCAGTTAAACAATTTCATAGTATAAATATACTTGAAATATTGCATATCACATGAGACATACTTACACTAAGATTATTTTTTGATTATTTTAAATACAAATTTATTTGGAGTTTTATATTTTATCTGGTAACTCTATACTCAAAGGACTAGAGTCAGGCTTATAACACAAGTCTCATTAGAAACACTAGACAACAGGGGCACTTGTCTGGTTCAGTCAGTAGATCATGTGGCTCTTGATCTCACGATTGTGAGTTCAAGTCCTATGTTGGGTGAAGAGATTACTTACAAATAAAATCTTTAAAAACAAAGAAGCAATGCCATCAATATTCTTAGGGAAAAGTATTTTGAAGCTAAAACTTAATACCCCATCAAACTGTGAAAGACTATTTACCTACCATGGATTCATTCTTCAGAAGTTTGTTGAAGCAATATTCTAGCCCAATGAGTGTTCAAATCAAGAGAAGATACATGTTAAAAGACAATGAAAGTAATCCAAGAATCCAAAGAAAACAAATTCCCAAATGACAGATACTTAACAGATCTAGAAAGTTTTTATTACAACAGGAACTATGGGCCTCAGAAACATAAGTTCACCCAGAAGTAGAATGCATTGGATTCTGGGCAATAGACAGAGTAGATAAGAAGCAAGGAGACATTAGTGATATTCTAAAGAAGACATATTTTTAATCTCAACCATCACAAATAAAAGATAGGTGGAAACTCTGAGCAAAATACACAACAGTACAAAATGTTCTGATCAGGAGGTAAAGCAAACCAAAATAGACATAATTTGCCAGTAGAAAGAAAAGAAACAATAAGAGAGAAAAGAGAGTCTATTTAACCTTCACTAGAAATCATTTTTCTTCAGGTAACACCAAGATTGTGAAATTGGACTGATGTACTATTTGTCTCCGGATTAAATAACAATGACATAGTCCCAAATTGTGATTTTAGAAGTTACAAATCCAACAGACACCACTTATATTAAAATATTCCATCATAATACATTCCATCTATGGAGTTACATCAGTATTTTCCGACTCAAAGACTTTGGAGCCACTGTTTGGATCTTTTAATGGTCATGAACTTACTGAAAGGGATATAAGAATCAGTTCCGGTCTACATCATTTCTAGAGACTAACAATATTATATACTATATCTCCCATATATACTATTATACATTGATTGTTTTTAAAATGTCTTCTAAAAGTATTAAATATGTAGATGCTTTTTGCCATCTTATACACATATTAGCAACTGACTGGGGAAATACAACATTAAAAGGAGAGTCTTCATGTTGTGAACATTGGGAACCACTCACCTACACCAATCTCCCTTCTCTAGCACTTGGTAAAGTGTTGTGTAAACAGCAGGTGGCTCAATAAATTCAACAGGGATGACAAAAATCAAGCATAACTGTCCCCATAGCATGACTGCTCCAAATTCTTCAGTATGTCTCAGAAAACCAGGCTAAGAAATCACAGTTCATAGTCTTCCCCGAGCTCCATGCTCCCCGGGATCACAAGCGAGCCACAGCCCAGGAGTTTCCTTGATCCAACCAAAGCAGCAAAGCAGCCACACTCATCATCACCTTAAGTCAACTAGTTGGTGAAGTCCATTAAAAACCTTAATCTGGAAATGAGAATGGTCCATTATGCCAGCAACATTTAGACCACAAGTGAATGCCAAGCCCAGCAGGGGTCAGTCTCAATAGGTAGGTTTTTATGGTTATGGGCTTGAGTTCTCATTTTCACCTAATTGACAGGAGCGTTTCACTAAAACGATATATGAGGTGTCATGGCCAGCCCCAGGTTCTCCCCTCCTGATAGCTCCTGCAATGGTGCAAGTTGACTCAGATAAGGTAATCAGTCATCAGCCTGTGCCTTTTTACTACAGAAACACATCTTGTAGCTCATTCTTGTAGGACTGCAAGATCTCTGTGAAACTTGGGGTAGTCTAAGACGGAGTTCTTGATATAGTTCTATTCGTTCTTGATATGATATGGTGCTTGTTTCTTGACCTACATTATGGGCTGACCTCCCAAGAACCTTGCAATAGTTTACTTGTTACAAAAAAGAAAGTAGAATACTAGTTGATTTGCCCTGAAGAATCTAGATCCTGTGAACTCTCTGAGGAAAATGTAAATAGCTAAGTGCTTCCATCTGCTGAATATCTTCTTGTCTTTTCATTGCCTTTTTATTCCTTTTTGTTTTTCTAAATGGTTGGTTATAGTTAGTTTAGACTTTATTCCAGACATTAGAACTGTTTGTCAACTGAAAATTTATCTGAGAGGATGGTTAGGCTAAGTTTAGACGTTTAGTTTGAAATGATTTGAGATAGGATATTGGATCATGCTAACCTTTTATTTATAAGCGAAAGAAAAAGAAAGAAAGAAAGAAAGAAAGAAAGAAAGAAAGAAAGAAAGAAAGAAGAAAGAAAGAAAGAAAGAAAGAAAGAAAGAAGAAAAATTAAAAAAGAAAAGCCCAATTAGGACATGCCCTTATGAAGGATAAGACCTTCCATAAAAGAAATTTGCAGATGAGCCCTTCCCAATTTAGCTATTAAATAATTAATGATAAAAATGAAAGGAAGGAAGGGAGGGAGGGAGGGAGAAAGATCTAGGTACCATAGAATATTATTCAGCCAAAAAAACGAAGGAAATCCTGCCATTTAAAACAACATAGATACATGGATAGACCCTGAGGGTATCATGCTAAGTGAAATACATCACCGCAGAAAGACA